CGTCACCTGTGCGGACCCGCCACCCCAGGTGCTGCCCCTGGGCCCAGACACAAATGTCACGTGACTTCCTGAGCAGGTGTCCATACCCCCCACAAAGCTGGAAAGACCCCAGGAATCCTGGCGCCACTCACCGCTTCCTGTGTTCACAGGGACACTGAGGCCCAGGCAGAGGCAGGGCTCCTCCCATCCACCTCATGGCTTTCCTCAGCCTGGTCCTGGTTCTGTCTTACAGCCCCTCCCAACTGCCTCCCACCGGACAGTTCTTCCCAAGGGCCCCCACTTCCTTAGTGTCTGGGACTTGGTCCTCGTTCTTTTTAAAAAACATATGTTTATTGATTTCAGAGAGGAAAGGAGAGAGAGAGAGATAGAAATATCAGTGATGAGAGAGAATCATGGATCGGCTGCCTCCTGCGCGCCCCACACTGGGGATCGAGCCCGCAATCCGGGCCCGTGCCCTGACCAGGAATCAAACCGTGACTTCTTGGTTCATGGGTCAATGCTCAACACTGAGCCACACTGGCCAGGTGTTGGTCCTCTTTCTGTCACCGCTCAGGCCCACTTAACTCCCACCTTCCCTCCAGCTCCACCCGCCCCTCCCACTGAGCCAGGCTTCCGATCAAGGTGAACCAGCCGCTCACTGACCCTGAAACGGGCCAGCTGGGGGCTTCCCTGGGCCCCAGCTCAGGCGGCACACCCACCTCCAGCCTAAAAGGCCGCCTCTTCACTCTCTCCAGCTGCGTCTCTGCCCTGAGGCCTCTTCTAACTGTGCAAGCCCAGCCCTATCCGTCCTGCCCCAGATCATCTGTCCAGCCAGCCCTTCAGCACAAAATTGAGCAACTACTGCATGTCCGACTGTGAGCTTGGGAATGGAAGATGCACAAACAGTCCCTGTCCTCAAGGAGAGCTCAGGACATCAGAGACGGGACACAGGCACCATCCCGGGTGGAGCCAGGAGCAATCAGGCAGGCCTTCTGGAGGAGGTGTCTCAGCTGAGACACGAAGGTGAGTAAGAACCAGCCAGGCGACAGTGGAGGTGGGCAGGGGAGTCGGGGTGGGTGTTTCAGGGAGGAAACAGCGTTGCCAAGCGCTGGAGGTCAGAGAGAACAGGGCCCAGGCAATCCCGCGCCCAGGCGGAAACCCGAGGGAGGAAGATGCGCGCCGCACAAACATGCGTGCATGAATGCTCACAGCACGCGAGTCATCACAGCCAAAGGTGGCAACAACCCGGTCCACCAGCGGCCGCACGGATAGAGAAAACGGGACATGCCCACGCAATAGTCATTCATAAAAAGGATGGAGAACAGAAGTTAATTTCACTTAAAGAATGAAGAACTGACCCACACTGCAACACAAATGAACCTTGAACACACGACGCTGAGTGGAGGAAGCCAGTCACGAAAGGCCACACACTGTGTGGTTCCATTTGTGTGAAATGGACAGAAGAGGCAAACCCACAGACAGAAGCAGGAAGTGGCTGTCTACAGCTGGGGGAGGGGGGTGAGGGGCGGTCTGAGGGAAATGGGGAGCGAAGGGTAGTGGGTATGGGGTTTCCACCGGCTTTCACTGTCATTTCATTAAGTAAAGGAATACTTAGCACTAAAAAGATAAGAATCGGATGCACTCACCAACGGGCATTCTGTCCTTCAGCCAAGTGACCCTGGGGGCAGGGACCCCGGTCACATCACAGGTCAGCACCAGGGGGCTCCCAGCCACCTGGCTCACTGTCTCCGTCTTGGGGTTCTCAAACGTTGGGGGCACTGCAGGAGAAAGGCCAGATGCCCAGAGTCTTAAGGCTCTGCCCTCCCTCCCTTCCTCTCAGATGTTCGAGAAAGCCCTGCCCGTGGCCGGGAGTTGGTATTTTAGGCTTTGCCATTGATGGAGATGTGCGCTGGTTTATTCACAAGTGGAACCCGCAGCTGGCTGTTTCAAAACATCTACAGAGCAGAGTCCAGGAGGGGTCCGCTTAGCCCAAGGATGGTAAGTGCATGGCTCATGGCTCAGCAGTTCTAGCTTATGCCAGGACAGACATCACTAATCAATCCCTACACTCTCCTGCTCAGCCAGGAGGAAGTCACGTACCCCAGGCGGCCACCACCACTGGAACAGAGACGGCTGTGCTGAGGATGAAATGCCATTGCCCTCAGGGACCAGACATCGCCCCCCTGCCCACCATTCATCAAGGTAGCCATCAGGTGAAGGGGCGTGAGCTTTGAGCAGCAGGCATGGTATCAATAGTTTATAACAATGGTATTCAATATGGCTCACGGTTGGATCTTCCCACTGCTCCCCTGGTGGGGACGCTACTGCTTGGCTATTTGCGGCCAATAGCTGGTGTCTGCCCAACCTGTCTTCTCCATCTTGCACAGCAATTGTAGTGAGCACATGGTTGCTCAAGTGGAAACTACATTTCCCAGCCTCCCTTGCAGCCTGCTGTGGCCAGCTGCCTAAGTTCTCACCAAATGGAATGCAAGCAGAGGGAACAATTCTACTTCTGCTCTTTTCTGCTTCCTGTGGGCTAGGACAAGATACACTGTGTCCCAATTTCAACCACATGGACAGGGATAACTCCCTAGGGACAGGAGAGCAACAAGATGGAAGGATCCTGGGCCTCTAAATTTCCACATGGAACCCAGCTACCCCACTCACGTCTGGGTTTATAGATGAGAGAGGTAAGCCCTATTCTGATCCTGCTCTTTCCAATTCCAGATCCTGTTCCCTCAACACTGGGCAGCCCCACCTCTTTCCAGCTGCTGCCCTTCCCATCCTCAGCAGCCTGTGTGTTGCTAAGGATTCCATGAAATCGCTCGCAGACGGGTCCCAGCTTACCCTGGACCGTGAGGACGAACGTCCGCATGGCCTCTCCAGCCGTGTTGTTGACCTTACAGCTGTACACACCTTTATCTGACACCTGGGACGGAGAGCACACAGTGTGCATGGGGCTGGGTTCCTACGGCTCCCCCAAAACATCCAGGTCCCAGGACCTGCCAGAGCAGGGACTCCCCAGATATGCTGGTCCTGCTTGGGAAGTCAAGGGGAGACCTGACCCTCTGACCTTCCCAAGAGCCTCAAGAAGCAAGAGGGCCCCTGTAAGGTGAAAGACGGGCTCCAGACCCCCACCCCCTCCCGGGCCTGCGTGCAAAGGCCCCCTCGCTGTGGGATGGGGCTGAGCAGGAGGGAGGAGCCCAGGATGTATTTCCAGAGGAGCAGCCAACACCCAACAAACACTGTGACTGTCTAATCCACACCAGAGGGGGTGAGCAGAACTGACTCCCAGGAAGTTAGAACGTGAAGGGCCTGGAAAAAGCTTCCAGATCCTGGGGAAACTGAGGCAGGCGGCGGAGAAGGGACCTGCTCAAGGTCATTCTGCGAGTCCATGTGGAGCCCTGCACTCTTCCCACTCTCCAGCCCCGGAGGCTGCCAATCAACTTGGTTTGGGGTCTTGCAGGCTGAGGAGGCAGCAGCCCCCACGTCCTGCCACCCAGCCACCTGCCAGGACCAGGAGGTGGCACTGTATGGCCGCCCACGGCTGCCCATACCCCCGGGTCGCTCACCTGGGTGTCCAGGATCGCCAGCTTCTGCCCACCCTGCAGAGTCTGGGTCCGCGGCGCCAGGACCAGGGGCTGCCCATCTTTGTACCAGGTCACAGCTGGCTCAGGGAGCGAGTCTGTCTCACAGCTCAGAACGGCCTTGTCCCCTGCCCTCACCGGGAACCCATCCTGGGGGCCGCTGAGAGCCTGCCTGAAGGTGGGGGGAACTGGGCCAGGGGACAAGCAGAGTAAGTGACGCACCTCCCCCGTGTCCTCCCCAGCCCCGGCCACCATAACAGTCTATGGAAGCCCACAAGGGCCACACGGTGGACCCCACCCCAGGGAGGGCTCAGACCCAGGGAGTCAGGAAGAGAACCAGGCAGCATGCCAATGACCTGCTGGGTGACCTGGGAAAAGCGCATGCCCTCTCTGGGCCTCAGCCTCCTGGGCCCTGTCCCACACAGGGCGGGCCCCCCTGTGTTAGAGCCCCTCTGGGTCCCCACAGCCTGTCCCTCCAGCAAACCAAGGCAGAAGCCCCACTGCCAGCTGTGAGCCCCCGGGGCCTGGCAGTGTCTGTCACATGGCAGGTGAACACACAAATGGATGAACCAGCCCCGGGCCTGGGAAGAACCTTCCAGTGAGTCCTGCTCAGGACATCTTGGGCCAGCTTTTCCCCCAGAGGATCCTGTAGACCAGGAGCCCTGAGACAGGCTCCCTGCCAAGAACCCCGTGGTCGGTCAGGCGTGGGAAGGGCCCTCCCCTCAAGGTCAGAGCTCACTGCGCCAGGCCCGGGGCTAAGCGCTCACTTCCCATCCCATCGGTTAGTCCCGTGGTCGGTAAACTGCGGCTCGCGAGCCACATGTGGCTCTTTGGCCCCTTGAGTGTGGCTCTTCCACAAAATACCATGTGCAGGGGCGAACGTACAGTGCGATTGAAACTTCGTGGCCCATGTGCAGAAGTCGGTATTTTGTGGAAGAGCCACACTCAAGGGGCCAAAGAGCCGCATGTGGCTCTCGAGCCGCAGTTTGCCGAGCTGCAGTTGACCGACCACTGGGTTGGTCCTTATACCAACTGGCACCTACAGATGAGAGTTAAGGCTCAGAAAGCGGGCATGACTTGCCCAAGGTCACTGAGTAAGTGCACAGCTGAGTTTCAGACTCAAGTGCGTCCAGTCTGCAGACCCCGACCCAAACCCACCAAGTCTGCAGCTGGAACCGTCGGCTGCAGGAGGTTCGGCACCCCAGCTCGCGTCCAGTCTGCAGACCCCGACCCGAACCCCCAAGTCTGCAGCTGGACACCGTCGCTGCAGGAGGTTCGGCACCCCCAGGCTCCCGGGGTTCTCCCCCGGCTGTGCTGCCTGAGGGGTGTGGGCGGAGGGCTGACTGAAGGAGCCGGGAGGGTGCAGGTGGGGGGACAGACAGGACGTACCCAGCACGCTGAGCCGCACCAGCTTCTGGTCTCGGCCGGCGGCATTGAGGGCCTCGCACATGTATGTCCCGGAGTCTGCCGGCTGCGCCCGGGCCAGCTGCAGCGTGTGGGTGCCTGCCGGAGGGGGTGGGGTGTCAGCCCCTCGCACCAGCAACTGGCTGCCCCCAGACTCCCAGCCTGGTGCCCACAGAGCTGGACCCCAAGCCTCAGTTTACCCACCAGGCAGGAGGAAGACGTCTTCTCCCAGGGAGAGGGCCTGGCCGTCCTTGTACCACGTGACCTCGGGGCTCGGGTGAGCACGGACGTCACAGGGGAGGGACACGCTGCTGTTGAGGATGGCGGTGACCTGCTCTGAGTCCAGGCCTGTGATGTGTGGTGGGACTGTCCCCGTGGCCACCGGATAAAGAAAGACACTTGAGGATGCACCCGGCGGGGGAGCGGAGAGCGACAGCGGCAGCACAGGACTCAGCTCCCGGCCTCAGCTGGCCGCGCTGTCGAGCAACGCTGTGCAGCTGCCTGTTCACCACCACCGCTCACAGATGGGAGCACGGGGCGTGGGAACCAGAGAGGGACAGTCACTTTCCCGTGGCCACTCAGCTGGCCAGTGCCAGAGCCAAATATCAATTCAGGTTTGAGTCCTAGACCTTGAGTGCTCAACGCTGTCACCCCTCTGTTCCCGAGGCCACAGCTGGAGGCCGAGCGCACAGCCACGGAGGGGTATGCGTCACAAGAATGTGGCGGTCAAGAGGGCCAGCTCCGGGGCGGTGACCCCCACTGGGTGACCTCTCCGTCTCTGCAGCTGTGGGGTTGGGCCAGTGGTCAGCAAACTGCGGCCCCTTGAGTGTGGCTCTTCCACAAAATACCACGTGAGGGCACGCACGTACAGTGCGACTGAAACTTTGTGGCCACACTAAAGGTGCCAAAGAGCCGCATGTGGCTCGGGAGCCGCAGTCTGCCGACCACTGGGTTAGGCTCACCCAGGGGCGGGCAAACTTTTTGACTCGAGGGCCACAATGGGTTCTTAAACTGGACCGGAGGGCCGGAACAAAAGCATGGATGGAGTGTTTGTGTGAACTAATATAAATTCAAAGTAAACATCATTACATAAAAGGGTACGGTCTTTTTTGTTTTTAGTTTTATTCATTTCAAACGGGCCGGATCCGGCCCGCGGGCCGTAGTTTGCCCACGGCTGGGCTAACCTCTGAGCTCTGCGGGAAGGAGTGAGCCCCAGGCCAGGTACACAGTAAGTGCTTAATCATGGTGCCGTAAGGCCAGAAGAGCCGCTCCCCGATCACCTCCAAAGTGGCTTAGGATCATCTGGGGATGGCCCTGGGCGATCGGGGTCCCCCAGATCCTCTCTGTCCTGGGATGTGGCTGGTGCCAGGCCAGGATGACTAACCTCTGGGTGCAGCCTCGGGGCCTGGGACACAGGAAGCATGAGGTGGTGCCCTCAGGGAGGGACTAGGTGCTGTGCCTGCCACGGAGCACCAGCCCCTCCTCAGCTGGGGAGCCCCAGGGGGCCGCCTGCCCTGCCCAGCTCACCTTGCACCCTAAGTGTGAAGAGCTTCTCCACGGAGCCCGCCGGGTTCTCGGCCACACACATGTAGCTGGCAACGTCGGCCACCTCTGCCGTGGAAACCTGTGGGTGCAGAGAGAGGGCGCCTGGTGGCTGTGGTCCCCCTTCCCGGGAACCACTGGGAGGGACCCCCTCACCACACCAGGCACGGCGGGCGCCAGGAGGAGCCCCGCAGAAGGCCACCTGTCTACATGGAGCGGTGTGTAGGGGCTCCACTGATGGGCACGCACACCCCACGTCCATCCGGGGCAGTGGTTCTCAACCTTCTGGCCCTTTAAATACAGTTCCTCATGTTGTGACCCAACCATAAAGTTAGTTTCGTTGCTACTTCAAAACTGTCATGTTGCTACTGTTATGAATCGTCATGTAAATATCTGATATGCAGGATGGTCTTAGGCGACCCCTGTGAAAGGGTCGTTCGGCCGCCAAAGGGGTCGCGACCCACAGGTTGAGAACCGGTGGTCTAGGGCTTTCTGTGACACTCAGGAGGGGATTGTGAGGTTGGGCTGGGTGACCCCCTATAGCAAACGCGATGGTCTCCCCCCAGTCCGGAGGAGGCTGCCCTCTGCTGTGTTGAGCTGCAGGGGTCCCGGGCAGCTGTGTCTAGAAACTGGGTGGCCAAGGGTGCTGCCCAGGGCCCTGAGCCGCGCTGGCTGTAGGTGTGACATCAGAATTCCCAGGCGCTACGCTCGCCCGTGCCTGCCCGCGAGGCACATGGTGGCGGTGGACACGCATCACTGGGGGGTTGGATGAAGCCCGGGAGCTCCCGCAGGCTCTCGGGCAGGGACCTCATTTGGCTCAGATAACGGCAGCTCCTGGTCCCAGGCCAGCACCCCTGAGCCTCGACAGCTGCTGCCTTTAGCCACGGCGGGGGACGCCCTGACCTGCAAGACTTGCCCGTCCTCCAGGACCTGCAGCCGTGGGCTCGGGGAGAAGGGCAGCCCGTTCTGCAGCCACGAGATGGTGGGCATGGGGTTGCCCAGGGCTGGACACTGTAGGCTGACAGTGCTGCTGGCATTGACGGTCACCTCCTCCACCAGCTCCTCCGTGTCCCCCGGGATCACAGGTGGGGCTGGGTGGGGGAGAGGAGGGTGAGGAGCAGGCAGCCTCCCTGGGAAAGGTCCCTGTGGCAGGGGGGGCGGGGGGTAGGCATGGAGGTGAGAGCAGCGCTTGGTGCCAGGCATTGGCTGGGGCTCCTTGTGCCCCACTCCCCAAGCCCTCCCAGGCCCTGGTGCAGCTAAGGAATCTGGGGCACAGAGAGGGCTGTGAACTAACTGCTCAAGGTCACACAGCTAGGAAGCAGCTCACTTGGAGTTTGAACCCAGTCCTGTCTGGTTTCAGAGCCCAAGCTCGCAACCCCTACATTATCAACCTCCGAGTTCTGCCAGACCATGTCCCCACTGTGACTCCTGGGTGGTGGGGGGGGGGGGGGCTCACGGAGCCTGCAACGTGACACCCCCCTCCCACCCCCAAGGCCGGCCACTCACTCAGCACCATCAGCTCGTAGTGCAGCCAGTCCTCGCCCACCTCGTTGGAGGCCTTGCACGAGTACCTCCCAGCATCCTCCGCGCGCACCAGGGGGATCTGCAGGACCCGGCCTCCTGTGGGGAGAGGGATGGGGGGGAGGGGGGACAGAGGCTTGGGGGACCTGGGACACATCACCCCCGCAACCCCCATCTGTGAAATGGAGAGCATCTGCCCGCTCCGCCCAGCTCTCGGGGCCGGGGCACCAGGCCTGGCCGCACCTCCCTGCTCTCTGACTCGGTACTGTAAACACTCCCATCTCACAGATGGAAAAACTGAGGCTTCCCAAGAGCAGCCCGCAGTGCTGAGCCCAGCTCCTTGATGAGGGAAGCTGGGAAGGGCCAGAGAGCTGGGAGAGGCTCTTGGGAGGCAAAGAGGCAGCTGCGGGCTATGGTGGTTGGGGGTGGATGTTGCTAGCAGCTGTCATCTGAGACCCTCTGTGATCCAGAGCCTGCCAGGGCCAGACCCTGGCATCTCTGGGGGCTGGAGCTGGTCTCTAGCAGGGGCCGAGTGAGGGTCACTGTGTGCTCACATTCTCGGTCAGGGGCTCGCTGGCCCAGGCTGGGTGTGTGTGTGTGGGGGGTTGTGACCAGGGTTGGAACTAGGGGCTCATTACATGCAGAGCCAGGGGACAGCGGTCATGATTAAGGAGGGAGGGAGGGGCCACTGTCAGGGTCATTTATGTGTGAGGTTAATCTATGTGCTCGGGATTGGGAGTCAGTGGCCAGGGTCAGAGTTCAATGGTGGGGCTGAAGGTTTACGGCGAGGACAGAGGGCCGGGGGCTGTGGCCAGGGGGCAGCATGTGACTGAGGTCTCTGTGTACCCAGGATTGGGGCCAGTGTCCCGGTCCGAGAGGAGGCGAGGGGGTCAATCCAGGGGTTCTGACAGGAGCAAACAGCTGTCAGCAAGCGCTGCCCCTCTCGGATCTCTGAGGCCACCTTCTTTTGCAAGAGCCAAAGTACAAGCCCTGGGGTGACCCTGCTCAGCAGCACCCCGTGCCCCACCTCACCTCCCTCGCCCCCGCCCTCACCGGCCCCAGCACTGCCCACGCCTGGCAGGACCTGGGGCCAATCCTGAGCCGGGAGACCACCGAATCCCCCCTGAGACACACAGGGCTCTGTGCCTGGAACGTCTCCCAGGTCTGCTCTAGCCCAGGGAGCTCGGCCAGCCGCCAGGGAAGCCGGGCGTTTGGAGCCTTTTAATTCAAAATCCTCCACAGAAAAAAAACTATTCTAAATAAAAGGGTTGTTTTTTAAAAAAACTAAATCACCTTAAATAAACATATAAAGCAGTAAAAAGGAAGCAAAGGTCACAAGGGCCCGAGTTTGGCCCCGGTGTGGCCCTCAGCCCAGTGGGAGGTTCTTCCGCTGTTGGGATGATCACGAGATGCCAATAAAGCAGCGGCTCCTGCCCAGCTGGTGCCGCTCAGGGGTTGAGCATGGACCTATGAACCAGGAGGTCACGGTTCGATGCCCGGTCAGGGCACAGGCCCGGGTTGTGGGCTCGATCCTCACTAGGGCAGGAGGCAGATCAATGATTCTCTCTCGTCATTGATGTTTCTGTCTCTCCCTCTCTCTTCCTCTCTGAAATCAATTAGAAGAAAAAAAAAGAAGCAGCGGCTCCCTCTAAGAAAGACGCCGGCTTCAGTGGTTTATTTCTGGACATCGCAGATCTCGAAGCCCAGAGAACTTCCAGCGCCGGATTACAGAGGCGGCGAAGGCCCAGCCTGTCAAAGGCCCTGCCCGAGGCCACACAGCAAGCAGCACGCAGGGGCGCTCAGAGGACCCGCAGAGGGCAGCTGAGGGGACCAGCTCCGATGCGGGTGTGACCCCGGTCCCTGCCTGCAAATGCCCCGACTTCTCCGCGCAGCCCCGGCCTACCTTGCAGGACAGACACCCCGTCTGTGGCCGAGAGGGGCTGGTCCTCCCTGTACCAGGTGAGCTCCGGGGGCGGGACCGCGTTGGTGTCGCAGTACAGGTATGCGGGGTTGTTCTCCACGACCTCCCGGTATTCCGTCACCCCGCCCCGGGCCTCCTCCTCCCGGGACAGGATTTCGAAGGTTGCACTGGCATCACCCACCTTCTGGAACATGGGGGGCACTGGGGAGGGGTGACAAAGGCATTACGACACACAGCGTGGGATGGAGAGGGACCTCTGCTCAAAGGACCCCGTCCTAGCCTCTTCCGGGAGTGGACATTGCACTGTTTGAGCCAATCCCGTAGGTCAAGGCGTTTTTAAAATTCACTCATCCCTTCAACTAGTGGTTTTTTTTGTTTTTTTTTTGCAATGAGTGTTTATTGAGCAATGACTATGCTGAGCACTGGAATGAGGCTCCTGCCCACCACAGCTCATGTCTAATGGACGCCAGACTTCTGACAAGGTGGTTTTTTTTCAAGGGAGGGAGCCAGATCCTGAGCTTTAGCCAGCCTGTTTACTGGAGCCCAGAGGATAAAATCATGGGCTTTTAGAACTGAGGCGCCCCTCAAGGCCACCCCACTCAGCCACCCACATGTTACAAAGGCAAAACTAAGGCCTAGGGGGCAGTGATGTTCCCAGGTCACCAAGTCAGTGAATGGACGAGCCCAGGCCAGGCTCTGGGGGCCAGACATGCCAGACGGTGGTGAGAAAGGGGACGGGCCGCCCGGCTGGTGTTGCTCAATGGTTAGTATCGGCCTATGAACCAGGAGGTCACAGTTCGATTCCCGGTCAGGGCACATGCCCGGGTTGTGGGCTCGGTCCCCAGTAGGGGATGTGCAGGGGGCAGCTAATCAATGATTCTCTCTCATCATTAATGTTTCTATCTTTCTTTTCTCACCCTTTCTCTCTGAAATCAACAAAAATATATTAAAAAGGGGAGGAGGGCAGGCAGCCGGGACAGAGCCCTCCTGCCAGCGACTCTGAAGCAGACACCCCCGCCTCCAGCCCTGCCGCCCAGTCCCACGGTCCCCTGCCCCCACCAGGCCCTGCGGGCCCCCACGCACCCTGGATGAGCACGCTGAAGTCCTGGTCGTCCTCGCCGGCTACGTTGCTGGCCACGCACAGGTACCGCCCTGAATCTGAGACCTGCGTGGGCTGGATCTGCAGGCGCCCTTCACCCAGGACGCGGAGCCGCTCGTGGGGGGCCACGGGCTGGGGGGAGGGAAGAGGCGGAACGGGGATCACAAATGGGGGGAAGCACCCGGACAAGTATACGTAGATTCCAACAAGGTTTTAAACACCCGACAAAATGGGAGGACACCCTGAAAACTCGGTAAAACCAAACCCGGATGACAACAATCGGAAGGGAATTAAATGGGTGAATATAAAGTTTAATGTTTATGAGACCTGTTCCCTTTTAAAGGAGTAGGATTTCCTATTAACATGTAAAGAGCGAGGCAGGGCCCAGCCCAGCTCTGGGGCCAGGTGCTTTGCCTGTCTCTACTGGAAGGTTCCGAGCAGGGCCCGGGGGACCCAGAGGAGAGCACCTGAGGCTGCCCCGGGGGGCCCAGCTCACCCGTCCATCCTTGTACCAGCTGATGGCAGGCGGGGGCGCCGCCCAGCACTCACACTCCAGGGTCAGGGTACTGTTGACCTTGGTCTTCACTTCCTTCACACCGACCTCTCCCATGGAGTCGTCTTTGGAGATGGAAGGGGGGACTGCAAATCACAAGGGGAGTCTGAGGAGCCGGCCTGGGGAGGGGGCGCTGAGCCTGTGCTCACCCTGGGCCCAGGAATGGGGGCTGGCTCCAGACAGTGGAGGAACAGCGGCCTGGAGATGGATCCACTCCTGGGGCCATTAGCCTAGGGCAGGGGTGGGGAACGTCCGTCCAGCGGGCCGGGCCGTGAAATCATTTGGCCTGGCCCTGCCCATCTGGGGGCTTAGATGTGTCAGATGGTGGTGAGAAAGGGCACAGGCAGTCGGGACAGAGCCCTCCTGCCAGGCTCGAAATTCAATCAATCTAGGAGCGTTAGGTGGCCAACGGGGGGAAGTAGAGGACATACGTAATACTTTCAACAATAAAGAATTATTAAAGTAAAAAAAATCTAGGAGCTTTCTTCATAGCAACATAAGTTTATATTAAGTGAATTATATTAAGCAAATGATGTTATAAATATCCACATGGCCATTGGCACGCTAGCCGGTTTGGCTCAGTGGATAGAGCATCAGCCTGCAGACGGAAGGGTCCCGGGTTCAATTCCGGTCAAAGGCACATGCCTGGGTTGTGGGCTCGATCCCCAGGAGGAGGCGTGCAGGAGGCAGCCCATCAGTGATTCTCTCTCATCATTGATGTTTCTCTCTCTCTCTCCCCCTTCCTCTCTGAAATCAATAAAAATATATTAAAACACCACAACCACCAAAAACAAAACATAAAACCAACACATGGCGCTTGGCAGATAAAAGGTCCCCTACCACTGCCTTAAAGGCAAGACCGTCAGCGATGGTTACCGGACAGGGCAGGTCGGAGGCAGGGGAATTCCTGGGGTGACATCTGGGGGCCCCAGATCTCAAGTTGTGGAGGCTCTGACTGCATCACGGCAGAGAGAAGCCAGAACTGGAGCGGGTGTGGGCATCCACGTGGCCCAAGTCCTAGCTCACCATCCCCCCTCTGAGCGTCCTGGGCCCTAAAATGGGGAATGACCCAGCCGGCCTGCTGCCTGGCGACTATCAGAGCAGACAAGCCCACGAAGGCGTCGGGGGTGTCAGGAATGGCCCCGGCGCCGGGGTCCCAGGGCTCCGAGCCACCTCCTGCTCCCACCAGTGCCCGGGGGTCTCGACTCACTGAGGACTTCCACGTGGTAGTTCTTCACGGCCTCCCCAAGCTCGTTGGTGACCACGCAGGTGTACTGGCCTGCGTCTTCCTTCTGGGCATTCAAGATCTGCAGCCCGTGGGTACCTGCTTGCGGAGCAGCGGCCAGGGGCACCTCAGGCCTGAGCTGGGCTTCACCAGCCCCGCCCTCTGACCCCTCGCTCCTCCCCCCAGGGCATCACCTGGGAGCAGCTGGATGTTGTTTGAGGCCTCAAATGGGGACCCGTCCTTCATCCAGGTGATGGTGGGGGTGGGGAAGGCCAGCGTCTCACAGATCAGAGAAATGGGGTTGTTGATGGTCACGGTCACCTCCTCGTCTGCACCGTCCTCGGTCACCCCCAGGATGGAGGGAGCCACTGTGATGGGAGGCCACGGGGGTGCTCGTGAACAGAGAGGCCGACCCTGGGCGCAAGGACCCAGGAAAGCCTCAGACCCGCGGTGCTCAGCCACCGTGCTGCTATTTGCATTGCGCAGGGGAAACTGAGGCTCGGTGGAGCCCAGGCCGGTGCGGCCAGACTTGAATTCAGGCCTCGGTGACCCAGGTCCCCAGCCCTCCACCACCGAGCAGTACCATAGGCCAGTGGTCGGCAAACTGCGGCCCCTTGAGTGTGGCTCTTCCGCAAAATACCACGTTCGGGCGCACACACATGGTGCGATTGAAACTTTGTGGCCACACTCAAGGGGCCAAAGAGCCGCATGTGGCTCGCGAGCCACAGTTTGCTGACCACTGCCATAGGGGAAGCTGGACAATTTCTGCCTCAACTTCCCCCACAGCCTCTTAGCATCCAGGGTATTTACTAATTTAACCAGAGTCTCCGCAATTCTGTTTGTTTCCAATCTGTGCCACTCCCGGAGTGGAGGGTGGGGCGGGAGGTGGAGTGATGGTCCCTGCTGAGTAGACGCTCTCTGTTGTCACTGACCCTAAAATGTCCTCTTTCAGGCCCTGCAGGGACCATCCATTTTGCCACCAGCGCTTTTAGAAATGGATTTTACGAGACTAGCCCGTGCCCCTCTTGTTTTCGAAACCCCGTTTCTCCAGCCCAACAAAACAGCTGGTGCTGCATTGCCCTCGCCCTCGCCCTCGCCCTCGGGGCGGACGGCCTGGAGGGAGCCTTGTCCTCTCTCTCAGCCACAGAGCTCCATCAGTGACATGGGGACAGGCGCGCTGCCCCCTCCTGGGTTGCTGTGGAGATCCAGCCAGGAAGGCCTGTGCGTATGCCTGGCCTCTAAGGGTTCAACCACTAGAGCCGCTGTTGTTGTTGTTTGTTGTTGAACATGGAGGGCTTTGTGGGAAGCTGCCTGTCAGGTCACCTTGGTTCTGCCTCCTGCCAGCACCTGGAATGGCCAGCAGAAGCCCAGCACTCACCCAGGACGCTCAGCTGGACATGCTTGGTCCTCTCCCCCGCGGCGTTGGCTGCAATGCAGGAGTAGTGGCCGGCACTGGACAGGTTGGCCTGGAGGACCTGCAGAAGGGCTCCGTCTGGAGAGATGTGCTGGGTGTCTCCACCAGCCAGGGGCCGGCCGTCTTTGAACCACGTGACCCTGGGCTGTGGGTGGCCTGTGTGGGCAGGAGAGAGGCAGGTAAGACAGTTCAGCAGGATTGGACCAGGTTGGAGCAGAGGTCGCTGCAGGAAGCGGGTGGTGGGGAACATGGGTTTTCCATCTCAGTCCAGAGGCCCAGGCAGCAGGGCAAGACGCAGAAGCAGCCACCACAGGCCTGGGCCTTTTCCTTACTGAGGAGTGGACAGAGACGGCTGGTACGGACAGAAGAAAGACAAGATATTCCTTCCATCCATCCATCCATTCATCCATCTAAACATACATATATACATACATGCATACATACACCTATCCATCCACCAATTTGTCCACCTATCCACCTCCCCATCCATCCATCCATCCATCCATCCATCCATCCATCCATCCACCCATCCACCCATCTACGGCCGTCTTTGAACCACGTGACCCTGGGCTGTGGGTGGCCTGTGTGGGCAGGAGAGAGGCAGGTAAGACAGTTCAGCAGGATTGGACCAGGTTGGAGCAGAGGTCGCTGCAGGAAGGGGGTGGTGGGGGACATGGGTTTTCCTTCTCAGTCCAGAGGCCCAGGCAGCAGGGCAAGACACAGAAGCAGCCACCACGGGCCTGGGCCTTTTCCTAAGGGGTTTGATTGCCTTTTCCTTACTGAGGAGTGGACAGAGACGGCTGGTACGGACAGAAGAAAGACAAGATATTCCTTCCATCCATCCATTCATCCATCTATACATACACACATACACCTATCCATCCATCCATCCACCCACCCACCCATCCACCTATCCATCCATCCATCCATCTAAACATACATATATACATACATACATACACCTATCCATCCACCAATTTGTCCACCTATCCACCTCCCCATCCATCCATCCATCCATCCATCCACCCACCCACCCATCCACCTATCCATCCATCCATCCATCTAAACATACATATATACATACATACATACACCTATCCATCCACCAATTTGTCCACCTATCCACCTCCCCATCCATCCATCCATCCATCCATCCACCCACCCACCCATCCACCTATCCATCCATCCATCCATCTAAACATACATATATACATACATACATACACCTATCCATCCACCAATTTGTCCACCTATCCACCTCCCCATCCATCCATCCATCCATCCATCCACCCACCCACCCATCCACCTATCCATCCATCCATCCATCTAAACATACATATATACATACATACATACACCTATCCATCCACCAATTTGTCCACCTATCCACCTCCCCATCCATCCATCCATCCATCCATCCACCCACCCACCCATCCACCTATCCATCCATCCATCCATCTAAACATACATATATACATACATACATACACCTATCCATCCACCAATTTGTCCACCTATCCACCTCCCCATCCATCCATCCATCCATCCATCCACCCACCCACCCATCCACCTATCCATCCATCCATCCATCTAAACATACATATATACATACATACATACACCTATCCATCCACCAATTTGTCCACCTATCCACCTCCCCATCCATCCATCCATCCATCCATCCACCCACCCACCCATCCACCTATCCATCCATCCATCCATCTAAACATACATATATACATACATACATACACCTATCCATCCACCAATTTGTCCACCTATCCACCTCCCCATCCATCCATCCATCCATCCATCCACCCACCCACCCATCCACCTATCCATCCATCCATCCATCTAAACATACATATATACATACATACATACACCTATCCATCCACCAATTTGTCCACCTATCCACCTCCCCATCCATCCATCCATCCATCCATCCACCCACCCACCCACCTATCCATCCATCCATCCATCCATCCATCCACCCACCCATCCACTTATCCATCCATCCACCCACTCATCCATCTAAACATACATATATACATACATGCATACATACACCTATCCATCCACCAATTTATCCACCTATCCACCTCCCCATCCATCTATCCATCCATCCACCCACTATCCATTTATCCATCTAAACATACATATATACATCCATCCATCCATCCATCCATCCACCCACCCACCTATCCATCCATCCATCCATCCCAGCTCAAAAGCATAACTAAGGCACTGGGGGAACCATGGTGACAAGGTAAACTGTGGTTCCTCAAGGAGCTCAGAGCCCAGCTGGGGTACACAGGTGTCACAAGGCCACCATGGATCAGTGTGATCAGTGCTGGGATGGGGAGCAGAGGGCCGGGATAGGCAGGCAAGATCCCCAGTACCCCCTTTTCAAAGCTGCCTTCTCACCTTTCTCCCAGCCCGCCGTGTGGCCGTGTGTGGCCTTACCTGTGGCGTTGCACGTCAGGTTGGCTGTCTGTCCCTCGGGGATCTTGACCACCTCCTCCAGGTCCTCGTTCTCGATACTGGGAGGAACTGGGAGAGCAGGGAGACAGCCGGTCACTGACTGGAGCTGGCTCGCTCGGGCTGAACCCCAGAGCAGAAAGCCTAGAGCATCTCTCTTCTGGCTCCTGGTTTCCCCGTCCCCTCGTGCCTGCTTCCACAGGGCCGAGGGAGGACCAGTGCCCTGGGAGAAGGCTCTGATCAGGGCAAGGTGGCGTTAGAAATATTTTCTCCTTTCCACGTTGGATGATAGTAGTCCCTGCTGCTTCTAGAAAGTTCCATGATGGCCTCAGAGTAGGAACTGCTCATGAGGAAACAAGCCTTGGCCTCTCCCTCCTTCCTGAGTGGACCTCCTACTACAGCAAGAGCTCTGGGTCCTGGACCGAACCCCGTAAGCTCCCCAGCCGGAGGAAAAGGACTCGTGGGCTACGCACACGGGGCTGTGACATACCCAGGACCTCCACGCTGAAGTTCCTCCGCACCTCCCCAGCCTCGTTGCTGGCCAGGCAGGAGTAGAGGCCTCTGTCTCGCTCCTGGGTCCGGGTCACCTTCAGCATCCAGCCACCTGGGGAGGGAGGAGAGAGGGCTCCAAGTGCGGCTGTGAGCTGAGCCCAGGCTGACCACCAGGAAGAGGAGCGTGCCAGGTGTCTCCATCAGATGTGTCTGCCTACCCCAGTGTCCCATTCCTCAGGTGGGAAAACTGAGGCCCAGGAGGGTGAACAGATGGGTGGAGCCCCCTGGACATTAGACATGCGCAGGGTAAGCCCGAGGCCCCGTTTAAGAAGAAGGATCTGTCACCTGGCTCCCCCCACTTCTGGAGACTGACCACGGCTAAAAGGACAGCCATGGGCCTGGCCCAGGCCAGACCGCCCTGCTACGCTGATGGACCCTGGAAAAGGCTGCCTTCTCCCAAGACCAGCCCAGGGAAGGCACATGCCCGGGACACGTGAACACAGCTGCTCCTATACCCAGGGCAGACATC